ATAGAGATTTATGGACTTCCACGACGATTCTTTTTAGATCGACGAGACCCTTCTTCTGGTAGCCGTTCCGCGCTTGCCTACCCTTCTCCTCCGCTGATCAACGATTCAGAGGAAACTGCTACTGACTTTAAAGTCAGTACCTACCTACCTACCTACCTACCTACTTACAGCGTTTCAATCTACGCGAAATTTTTCCCAAATCTTCTCGACCATGCGACACAGTGTACGCGTGTGTATACATATACCAGAGAGATCTAGAGATAATGTTATCCTCGAAAATTTATTCCACATCGTCCCGAGATCACTGACAATATCTAGATGTCCCAAGATACCGGCGTACAATTCCCGCACACGTTTTTCGACTAAAGTATTATCAGACAGTGTAGCAATTGCAAACTCTATGATACTACATGCTCCAAGTGGGAAAAATTCGGCGAAAAAGGGAACGACCGAGAAGATAAGAGAACCGAGATTCCCACCCCGGCAATTCCACGCAGAGGGAAGCGAAAATCGAGTCCACCCCTAGCAGAGATCTCCCCTCGGCATGGGAAAGGCGGGATAGGATTGGTCCTCGATCGCACGAGGGGTCGTTTCCCGAGATCGCGACCAATGATAGCAGCCGCAGCTGCCCTAGGGAATCCACGAATCCTTCCTCGGAGATCCCAAGCCCCTTCACGAGGATAACCGGGGCTGAACGCTTCGAATCACCAATAGAACCGGGGATTACGCCTAATCACGCTCACACATGGGAAACAATGACGATTCTCTCTACCTCCGATGCTCGATCCAACCTCCGACATTCTCCTCTCTTTTCTCTGTACCTTTTAACAGAATTTATTACAATCTACGATCAGGCTAGCTGCCAGCTACTCTTTTGATCTGCTAAATCGTAATTTTGAAATTTTAATTGACAGACAGAGCCCGAGACCGAACTAGAATATTTTCTTTCGTTTAATTATTTACCACACAGGTTTCTCCGAACCAACGTACACGGCACGGAAGCGAGCAGCCGCACGCGAGAAAAATTCTTTCATACTTTCTCGCGTACGGTTACGAGCGCAACAATGTTCGCGTGCGATTTTTCGCGTTGAAAGTCCGTCTGAAACGACACGAGCGAGCGACCGACCGACCGTACGACCAGAGAGAGGCAAATCAATTTCGAATGGTTCGGTTTATCGGTGGATTGTTTCTTTGTGCTTGTGAATGATCGATCGACGCGTCCGACAGTCGAAACTGCCCGTCCAATCGCGGCTCACCGAATCTTAAGCAGCCTGTCCGGGCTAACGGTGTTCGAGACTGCCCTGCTCTCTTATTATCGCGTCGATTGCCACTCGAACTCCAACCGTGGACCAAATATTCCATCTAACGGTCGTGAAAATTGCCTAACTCGCCGTTCTTCTTCTTTTCAAATATCTTCTTCCACATCTGTTCGCATCCTGAAAATTGCGGCCTGCATGGTCTTGTATCCTCTCATTTCACGTGTGTTTGCATACTAAAAAAAACGTTTGTCCAATTATTCCGTGCTTTTTGCTCGGGTTGGTTCTTTTTTCAACGTTCTTCCGATAATTACAGGCTGTCGAAAGAAATTCGAAAATTCAAAGGTGACGCGTGGGAGGAGCCAATTAGACGGGCAAACGGAATAAATCCAGTAACCTATTAACTTGTAAATTGCTTCCGAGTGTTGGAGGGAGGCAGGCAATCCCGGCCGCGCATAAATCCGCGAAATAAATCGCGGCGCTTGTCGTCCCGCGAAACCAGACCGACTTATTGCCTTGCGCCGATCGGCATCGAAGGATCGCTCCTCTACATACCAGGAAAATCTCCACGAACAAACCGCTCTCTTGTGCTCGGAATACGAACAGCCCTTCTTTTCTCTCCTTCTTTCTTTTTCAACGTGCTTTTAATCGACGTTCTCGTTTCTCCCCTCGAAGAATTCACTCCAAGATAGGTTAGGTTGGAGAACGAACCTCTGAGATGAACGCGGCGGGAAGAATTTTCTCGCAGCTTCGTCGAAGGTAGGAGAAATGGTACACCTAACGTAGACCGGTCGAAAGAGCGAATTTCGATCTGTGGAAAAAGAGAGCAACGTACAAGGAGACTTATTCAAAGTGTGAACGAATGCAAATCCCAGCCCTCATGAGTGGAATTTCCAAGGAAGACTGAAAGATAGATGGAGCACGCCGCCAAGCCTGGACAATACGCCGACATTTGCATCTGGTACATAATTCAGTCGCCGTCTCTGCCCCCGACTTGAATTTATCCCAACTCTCTCGTCTCTTCGTCACACGAGAGCGCGGAAAAACGGAGGAGAAGAAAAATGAAAAGAAATCACCTTGCCGAGATTGACACTTTTCTTTCTTTCAGGGAGGATCTTCTAAAAGTGAAACTCTGCACAACTTGAAGATACTTCACTCTCGTCCGAGGGCACGTTCGCGAATCAAGGGTGCAACCTGGTCGCTTTCCTTCGTCGAAAAAATCGCCCAGAGGGGGGGGGGACTAACGGTCGCAGAGGCTGCTGTTGCCACCGTGGCGTCCAGGAACAGAGCGCGCAGCCACGACGGAGCGGCTTGGCTCGGCGTGGCGGCGATAAGGATCTGCAGTGTCGCTCTGGGAAGGGGCGGGGGGATGGGGGGAGCGTGTAGGACAGCCGTTAACGAGCGATTCCACGCAGAAGCCTGGCCTCCGCCTCCTCCTCCTCCTCCTCGTGCGTTCGTCTGAGCCGCTGGAAAAGCAGCAGCGGGCAGGGGTGGCTCTCGCCCCTGTTGCGCCCCAATAAAACAGAGACATCCAGCCGTGCAAGAGACGGCGTAAAAAGGAGAAAAAGAAGAGAGAAGAAGAGGGAAGAAAAAATGAAAAAAAAAAAAAACAGGCCAGAGCGAGAGAAGAAAGAGAAAGAAACGCTGGCAGAAAAGTTCCCAGCTGTTCCACCAACGGCCTATCTGAACGGTGAATCAAAGATGGCGGCCGTTTGGAACTCACCGGAGCAGGAGAGAGAGAAGGGTTTCAACCCTTGCTATCTGGCCCATCGCGAGGCTCTCGAGCATGGTGTGCGCTCATAATAACTCCGCTCGGCTGGAATTTCCGTGGAAAGAGACACGTCCGCACAATATCGGGCCGCGGGTTTATTATTTTCGGGGGCAGGCGCTGCTTTGTCCGTGGCGATCGTATCGCTGGCCCTCTTTCTCTCCTCTCTCGTCACATCTGCGACCGGATTCGCTCCCATGCCGCATTGTCAGCCAAGCATATGGCCCTGACGCTCCTCCTATTTTTTCGGACCCCCTTTATAGCCACCCTTCTTCGTTTTTCTTCTTTAAAGAGGGGAATCGGGACCCGGTTAATCGACCGGGGGATACATACAGTTCTCGTCAGGTATCCGCGTCTGTACACGGTGGTAATTAAGAGCTTCGGATCATTCTCGACGTTTCTCGCGGTGACAAAGTGTGCAACCGAAGTTCTGCTCTCTTTTTTCTTTTCCTTTGGATTTAAATAAATCGCTATACGTGAGCAAATTTCATTTTCGATCGCACGATACTCATTCAGGGAAATTATCGACTAATTTCCGGCCGGTTTTCTGAAACGATGCTCGGGAGAAAAATAGCCGATACTTGTGACAGCGGAGCGTAATCGATTATAGGGGGCAAACTTTCGTCGAGGGACCGCCGGTGCTCGTTATTAAAACACGACTGAGGGGAAATTACCACGGGCGTACGAAAATGTGACACGCGTGCCGGCGATAAACGACGCCTACCGGTTTAAACCGATCCATATTTTATTGGAAGGCCAAGCGAACGCGTCCTCTCTTCGTGACTGATAGGTGGGCGGTCCGGGCTCCTCGCGCTGTCATAATATTTGGCCTGTCTTCGCTAGCCCCACGCTCTTTCCCGGAAAATTCCCTCCTTTCCCACTTACTTCAACCTACAACTGTTTCTCCTCATTTCCCATCGCTTCTACGCTTCGCGTGAACCTGAGTCGGAAAAAATTCAACGATTTCAGACTTCTAACAACGTTCGATGAACTCTCCGATAAGAATATCCCGGCCGTTGATGAAAAAAGGAACCTAACGAATCTGTAACAGCGCAATGCTAACACTGTAACTTACCGAAGAGAAAAAAAACTACATATTCGTCTTTCACAACTTCATATATCTCCTCCAGCGGCTCTCTCTCCCTCCCTAGAGTTTGACGAAGGAACGGCCGACAAATGACGGCAAAAACGCGACGATTAATAAATCCAGCCTGCGTGAGCGGCGTAATTAGAGGAGCGACCAGGTGGCTGCGAGAAAAAGCCTGAATCCATCAGCGTTGCTCTATCGCGCACGGGAGAAAGCGCGCGAGAGGGATAGTGAAACGTCACTAGACTGCTATGCGCTTCTGCATCCATGGAATGCAGCTCTAACCAACAACTTTGCGCGTTACTGTTCGTAAAACTCTTTTAATCCCCGTTAAAGTTGACAGAATCCACGCAAAAGCCCGTCTTACCCTGCCTATATGCGGCCGTATCGATCACCTCGAGAACCTAACCTTATTTATACCGTTCATCCTATAGAGAAATTATTTTTCCACGTTATCAGTGAGAAGTTGTTTGGATTTGTCCGAGGGAAGTGGAAGAGTATTAATGGGTCTCGCGTACAGGAAATTAACGTGGCCTTGTTTTATCTCGCATTCTGATGACTGCATCTGCGTATCGGCGCTCCGTAAGAGCGTATTAATTAAGCATGTTGCGACTCGGTGCACGCGCGTCGCGGAAACGATCAAGGACAGCCTTTTGCGGGACGGACAGGTGTATGAATCGTCCGAAGGGACTGGTAGCTTCTTCGCAGCCACGAAAATTATACCGAATTCCTACGAGCCTATCGTTTCTCGAAGACGGTAACAGAATTTACCGTGTGTAGGTAACTCGAGACTTTTCGATCCTTCTTGGATTTTCATTTTCGATTTAGAAAACGATTGGACACTTTTTTTTAGGAGACAATTGGCAATTCAGCTTAGGTACTTACCAGGCGTCGTTTCGGCTTGATCAGCGGCCGGTTCTGACCGTTCATCTTGTAGTAGAGTCCACACGCGTTGCAAAGGTAGTGGCCAGTGCCGTCCCGTCTCCAGAGCGGCGTCGACGTCGCGCCGCAGTTCACGCACTCGCGACCCTCTGTTGGAATTGCACCATGCAGATAATAAATCAATTAATTTCCACACTGTGTCGCTTTGTAATCGGTTCAAAAAGCTACGATCAGTGGTGTCCTTCGAACGGAAAAATTCAATTCTTCCCAAAGCTAGTTTCGTTCGAATGGAAAGAATTCAACTTGAGATTGTTCGAGAGAACGAGGCTCGAAAACACGCGCACGCTGGCTGTTCGGGGAGTATTTCGAAAAATTTACCGTCTGTTTGAACGCTTAAAGGACCGTACGAATTCACAATTTTCTTTTCAGAACTTTCGAATCAAACTTCAAGGATGAATAACTGTAATAGTTTCTTTAAGCGTCAAGTGGAATTGCTAGATATTTCGAGAAGGCAGCGTGCCCGATGCAAAAAAACACTAAACCATGAATAAAGTCAGTGATGGAAGTCGCATGCAGTTGCAGACATACCATATCAAGCGATTACCAGAGCAAAAGCAGAGTCTCTTTAGGACCGTGGCCATTATAGACACCGTGGATCGAACACGGTCGTCCCATTGCGATTTTTTGGAAAGAAGAACAGACCTGGCATCGTTAGTCTACCCCCCACCAGACAGTATAGGAAATTGGAGCAAATTTTCAGACCTCCTCGAACTTTCTTTGACAATGAAAAGTTTCACTCGTAACACGGATCGTAAATGTGCGAGAAAGAAGAAAAAAAAAAAATAGAAATACTTGTGTCTTTATTTTTCGCCGATTGAAAAATTCGGTCTGAAAACTTTCGGAAGTGAGAGAGACAGAGGAGGGGAGGGAGAAAATGGAGAAGAAATTCCCTTGAGCCGTGAAATCCGCGCCTCTCGAAGCTGCGTCCTCTGAAAAGATCTCAACACCGCTTCCAGGCGATTTTTCACAATGAATCTCGCGAATGAAACGCGATCGACGTGGCCGTACGTTCGAATAGGGGGGGAGAAAAAAGAAGTAAAAGTCTGCCAAATTGCAAAATTGTCGTATTTTTCCCCGCGACACCTTCCAACCGTCCACTTCGAACCACTCGAGCTCACCGTTAAACATCGTGCCACTTTTTACCACCGAACGAGCCGGGGAACGATCGAAAAATTCCAAAGAAACGCTAACGAGCATGAAATATACATGGCTCTTGGTTAATTGCGATATTTTCACTTCTCCACGTGTTAACGGCTAATTAATAAAATCAACCGCCAAAGAGAAATCCACCGTTGCTGGCAGAGAAACATTCTAACGAAGATGAAAATTATATGTACACGTTGTTCAACTCTCGCGCGGGAGCATTAGAAATTCTAAAATATTTTTTTTACTTTCGACGATGATGTATCAGCGCGCGCAAGCGAGCGCAGAGTGTTTGTTTCGCGGAAAAACGAAGTGATCTATGGGCTGTTGTTCGTTTGTGTGTACTCGTCTGGCTACGGCGTCGTCGAGGCTGGTGTGTCGTAAGCCGATTTAATTAGCGGACTTCCACGCCGCGAACCGCCGGGCCATTGTTCCCGGAATTAGGATTTTTACCACGCCGTCCTCGCCGCAGACCGGCTATTATTACCGCAATCAACGTATCCGGCACTTTTTCAACCGTTCCATTCCCGTTCCCTTTCCCCTTTGGATCGCCGCGACCCGATTTAAAGGATCCTAGACCCGTGGCTCGAGTAGTCCCTTCGACGGATCAGCCCGGTATCTCGTGGCGAAGAGCATTCGAATTGTAGGCAGTGTGTAAAGTACCCGACACAAGTACCTACAAGAATCGAAGGAAATTTTGAAAAATTGTGAAAATTAAAGGAGAAAACGAAAAATGACTTTTAGATAGAGTTACAGAGCTGTCACTTCAAGTGATACAATTCTCGTGTACGGGTCGTTTTATTAGTGGCAGAAAGAAAAATCGTGCGAGAAAGCACGGCAAAAAAAGTCACGTTGGTCCGTAGACTCTTCTCGAGAGGGAGATTTTTGCTAGTGACAAAACCAAAAATCGGCAGCATGTAGCCACACCACATCGACAAAGATAGAGATAGTAAAAAAAAAAAAAAGGTACGTGTGTGCTGCTTCACGTGTGTGTTTTACACCGGTGTATTTATAAAAAAAATACAGATCTATACAGAGAGAGATAGAGAGAGATTAGGTATAGAGAATGAATGCACCCGGTCTTCAGCATCTGTGCTGCTCGAAAAATTACGGAAACGTTGTCAAAAGGTAAGGCATGGAGTCGATTCGAAAGAAACTGCGTATCTTTTCTATTTCTCATTCTGACAAGATTTCCGCAAATGTTGGAGTGACCAGAGATGTCGGTAGACGCTGTGCAATCGTTCGCCATTAAAATCAATCAGGTGTGGTGCTGTTCACGCTCGACGTCCCGCGGGTGCCACTCAAAAAACACATCAGTGATTGCAAAAATACAAAAATCAACACGTCGGTGTGTCTCCCTCTCGCCCGGCAACACTCAGCTCGTTTCGAGAAAAAAGAAAATATATACGTGTTCTTGAACTTTCTTTTTTTCTTTGGTCAACGTATTTAAGCGAAAGACGACCGCCACCAAAAGCTCATCAGGGATATAAATCGAACTAAAGAAAATTTCCAAACTAAAGAGAGGACCGGAGACTTCGTTTCTACGTTTTGATAAAGTAACGACGTTTCTCGAGTCTGTTCACCTGTACCCACCGGGAATACCGATTCGACTCGAGGAACGACGAGGAACAAACGAAGCTCGAGTCTCGGGTAAAAAAGTATGAAAGTGGAACTAAAAGCAAGACGCGTGGACCCCTGCGATTTTAAGGATTACATACATTTCTAGAACGATCCTGTAAATTCTCGTGTTAACATTGCGAAAAATAACAAAGTAGTAGCACCTACTTGATTTTTAAACGTGACCGTAACTCGAATAGAAAGGATCGTTCTTAAAATGGCTAGATTTATTCGTAGGCTTGAAAAGTTAATTGAAAAAGACAAGATTTACGCCCACTGAAGTGGAGCTCTACCATCAAAAGACACGACTTAAGAAAATAGCTGTGGTAGTGTTACTTTCGAATATCTTTCCATAAAATTTACATTACAGTTAAGTTGAGCGATACACCGTATCGCATTATAAAAAAAAATTCACTTTCAAGATCAATTTACTTTCAACAGAGAAAAAAAAAAAAAGACACTCCAAAGATAGGTGTATGCGACTAGCCAAGTGGTCTCACCGGGATCCAAGCGAGAGACAAGCAAAACCAAGGAAACCCAAAGCGTAAACACAAAACCAAGAAGAAGAAAAATAGCCTGCAATCGTTCCGAAATTTCCCAAAGCCGAATTTAGGAACCATTACAGTTGCGCGCCCCTTCTCCAACATTCCCGCGTGCGATAGATCCCGAAGGATTCCCTAAGCACTCTGGGAACGTGGAGAGAGACCGGGCGTAGTAGTCACCGAAAGAAGTATACACCGAGGTCGTAAAATCGATCACGAGCCAAAGCAAACGTGTTGCCAGTCTCTGGTACAATCTTTCGATACTCGAGTACGTTCGACCTCTGTGTAGAGGTAGGTAGACATCTTCCAGCGAGCGTACTCGGAAAAACCAAAAGTTAACCAAGGGTAACGAGAAACCAATAGAGGAGGAACGAAAAGTAAACTGTGAAAGAAAGAAAAGGGAGGAGAGGTTGGTAGGCGTGCCGCTTACCGGCGGACGTCCTCGACTTGTTCCTGGGCTTTTGCTGCTGCTGCTGCTGCGCGGACGGCGAGCTCGGCTGGTTGCCGTGCCCGTGGCCGACCAACAGCTTCGAGTCGACGTTCACGCCGGCCACGCCGGCCGCGTTCGCGGCCGCGGCCGCTGCCGCCGCCGCGGCGTGATGGCCGAATAAACCGGCGGAAACCGCGGCTGTACCGTTGTGCGGATTGTGGGACGTAGACGAAGAAGAAGACGTAGAGGAGGCGGCGTGATGATGGTGATGGTGATGGTGGTGGGTGGTATTAGGATACTGCAGGTGCTGGTACATGTTATACGCGCTGCTCGCCGGCTCGTACTGGGACCCGGAGCCGGCATGGTGGCTGTTAGAGGCGGCCGCGGCCGCGGCTGCGGCGGCGGCGGCGGCAGCGGCCGCGTAACTGTCCCTGCACGACGGTGAGCTCGCTCCACCGCCACCACCGCCACCACCGCCCGCCACACTGTTCCCTTGGTACGCAGCCTCTTGTTGCTGCTGCTGCTGCTGTTGCTGTTGTTGCTGTTGTTGCTGCTGCTGTTGCTGCTGCTGCTGCTGCGTGGTGCTCGCCTGTTGGCTGCTGCCTGACTGGTTATTACCTTCGCGCTGCTTCACCTGACCCGTCGCTGCGCCTCCGTTCCCACCGTTCCCGCCGTTCCCCGCGTTCGTGCTGCCGTTGTGTTGCTGATGGGGCGGCGAGGGTGCTCCGTGATGGTGGCCGAGCATCACGCTGGGCTTCACGTCGCAGGAACTCGCTCCGCTGCCACCAAGGGCGTCCTGGTGGTGCATGAAAGCTCCCATCACCGCCGCGTGCGCCACTGCCGCCTGATACTCGCTGCTCGCTCCGCCTGTCAGCCCTGACAGAGGATTGCTGGTGTTGTTGTTGCTGGCACTACTGCTGTTGTTGTTGTTGTTCGCTGTACTAGAGGTAGTGCTCGCTGTGATGCTGTCCGGGGTCGCGTCTTTCGGGGGTGTCGGGGGGAAGGAGAAAAGGTGGTGACCAGCGCTGGCACCACCGTGGCTGGACAAGCTGCCCGTCGTCGGGGGCAGCGAGGAGCCCAGAGGGCTCTGAGGTTTGTCGTCGCTCACCCCGCCGCCTGTGGAGCCCGTCGACGTCGGGAATCCCCATGGCGTCTTCGAGGTGTCTGCTCCGCTGCTAGACAGCCAGGGGTGTAGCACCGAACTGTGGAAGTGCGGCCGACAGACCTGGCTCACTGGACCGCTCGTTACACCGCTGCCCGACATCCTCGCTGGAAGAAGAAGAGAAACAAGCGGATAGGTTACAAGTTTTCCTCGAATTTTCGATTGCAACGCGAAAGTATTCTCTCGACGAGTTCGATCTTACTTCTCGTTCGTTCCGAGTACAGTTTCAAGGTGCAAGAACCCGGAGGGCAACGGATGTATTCCGAAGAACAATGCCTTGAATTTCGCCCGGCGGAGGTTTCTCAACCAAAAATGGAGAGCGACGGGAAGAACCTGATCCGTGCGTGCACGGAATGATCGAGTTCTGCGCGGCTAATTGCCGGAGACATCTTAATTGCGCGCCACGCGCCACCACCAGTCCTTTTTTCCTCCCTTTGACCAGGGATCGTTCACCCCTGTGTATCGTACACACTAGACTCCGCCTCTGCCGTGTAATTAGCTGCTCATTAACGATTTCAACGCCGTTCCAGGCTACCTAGCTCGCGTTTCCTCCAACCAGCTAGTGCTGCTACGCTTCTCAGAAGAGGAATCGTTTCGTGCAAGCCTGGCTGCGTCGGCTGCCGCGATCGATATATCGAATGGCCGGTTCTTGCCTCTACCTCGCGGGCATACGCTGATAACCAACCGTTTTGCCAAACTCCCACCTCCAGCCACTAATTCTCACGGGTCTCGCACGGATTCTGACTTCTATTATTACGTACTCGGTGGATCTAAAGTCCAGTCCACGGTACATTCGATTTCCCCATCCCCGTTTGATTTGTAAGGTTAGGTACCTAAGTACTCGTGGAACTTCAACGCGAGAAAATTCCGCCACAGTGGCTAAATTTAGGAGCATGAAACGTAATATCGCAGAGGGGGAAGAACGGGACCGGCAGCTGCAGCGTCGTGCAATTAATCGAATGCAGCGATGGCCCCGCCTGTAATTGGATCTGAACGACGGGTTAGAAAGATGGAAAGGGATCCGCGAAAGCTACGTGCTTTTTGGAGCTATTCGTTTCTTCGGGACCAGGCCAGTTCGCACTGTTCGTGGGGGCAAAAAGTTCCATACATCATCTGGTAACTGGAGGTCGTTCCTTCTTTCAACTTTTTACCACCATTTCGAAGAAATCGTCGAGAAAACACGGACAACCGTGCCTTTACAATTTTATTAAGGCGGATTATGCGTACGATGGAGCACGCGTTACATTTCTAAAGAAGAACGATCAGGAGACAAAGAGAAACATTTTTTACCTTTTTCTTTTTTTTTCCTTCCCTTTATGAAATTTCACCGCAATCACGAGGAAGAAAATTAATAAATAGCAGCGGTTATTCCGGGTAAGTTGGCAAAGCGGCGTTACAGAAAAGGATCGATGCGTCTTGTTAAAGCAGTCGATTCCCAAGCCGCTCGTTTCGAAACAGGTCGCCGCTAATATGGCGCCGCTTTTCCACCTCGCCGCCTTTTTTTGCTTTTCCCTGAACTTCCACCGATATTAACGAACTTTTTTCGTAAAAGCCCCGGATAGATGCAGATATTCGAAAATGAAAGAAAAATGGGCACGAAGAACCTGTTTCCACGGAAGGAATTCCCGAGACCCGGCGTCCTCGAGTTATACGAGCACGATCACCGAGCGATAGCGAGATCTACGCGCGATCTAGATCGGCCCGTTAATCGCTTACTCGATCGCGACGAGCCTCGAGTCCAGACTACGCCCACGCGTGCTGAAAATATTCGATCCAATAAGTCACACACATGTCCGTACGAACGTGACATTCCTGCCTGTTAATATGGTAATCGATTTTACTCGTCACCAGAATACACGTACTGTTCCGTGTAATCCAATATTTTAACGCAGCTTCTCCGTTCAAATTTTCGACCGCCTGTGCCATTTTCTCCCTTTCTACGTTAACAACAGACGAATCGAGACGTCTACGATTCCAGTGTAATTATCTTTCCCATTTCCTTCGTCAAACACACTGGCGAAGACCTCAATTTTTAATTTTCCGCTCTCGCAAAGGCATCCCTCTCTCTCTCGTTTCTTTTCATTTACTACCCGATGCGACTGCGTAGCAAAACAACGCACCAGGTGCATACTAAACCGAAACGAAATTAGAAAGCTCGCAACACCGAGAGCACAACAATGTTAGGTAGTCACCTAAAGAAACAAGCTGGCGCAAGCGCGGAGAAAATCCACCGCTATCGCAGGGATGCTGTGTGAAACGTGCAAAAAGAGGATCCTCATTCATCTTACAATTTATCCAACTGAATGGGAAAGTCACATGTGCCGTATACACATCAAAGAGTGGCACTCCAAATAATTAGCCGCCCGGAGCGACGCCTGGCGCTGCTTTTGCTTTTGTGCCGAGGCGTCGGGAACGAATGGTCAAAGCGTCGAAAGGATTCAAAGCGACGCGACGCGACGGCTCTCAAAGGACGAGAGGGCATCGGATGAAAAACAGGAGCGAACGCGAGAATTTTTGCCACGGAGTAAACCCCCCGCAGTCAATGGATAGAGAATTGATATTCGAGCGGCCATTTTACCGACGCCTGCACTCGCTTCTCCATTCAGCCGTAGATCGCGCCGGATAACGCGGCCATTTCATTCACACACAGCATGGAGAAAACTGCGGCAGGAAAGGAAATCGCGTGAATTATGCGCTCCTCGCTCGTTCGTATTCTCCACGAGGAGAACAACTTCGACGTTTCTAGAGCTACGTCTAATTATTCGCTGTTAGCGTGCGGATTGAGCCATCCATCAAACGTTCAACTCGACGTAGTCAAATTCCGCTGAAATATCCGTGTATGTAGTAACTTTTATGTATACATAACCTATACATGTACATAATCGTATCGAAGGGACAACGACGAGGACGAAGAGGCGACGAGAAGAAGCGAGTTCATCGAACTGACCGAGCTACTGTCATTAAAGACACGTAAAGATCGAGGATGGTCATTTTCGCGAAAATACGCCGTGGCACGGCACGTCGTAAATCGTCGAATTACGATGGAAAATAAAACTGAGGGGGCAACGAAGGGGGGAGGGAGGGCCGTGCCTCACGAAATTCCTGGAGAAAATAACGTCTCATTTGGAGCGGGGCCGCCACTAGCTGCTTTCTCGTAATAACATGCAATTTCTCTCTGCCCTATGCCTCGGCGGTGTTGTATATACTTTCAGAGCATGTGCTTTTTTTCGCCGCCGCGAGCCCTCGATTATTCCCGCGAGGAAATTCGCGTCCTCTCTTTCGGCGTATCAAGGGTGGCTCTCTATGGTCACCGAGCATCGACTAGGTAAACCGTACCTAATCCTTCCTTTTTAAGTTCCCTCTCGTCTCCGTCTCCTGACACCTTCAAGCTAATTTACCTCTGCTAGGTGCAAAATCCAAGTTCAACGTACGGTTGATGCCGGTTACCGAAGTCAACTTCATCACGGATCAAGAGACACGCTAATTCTGATGGCTACGTAACTCGATCCAATCATCGGTGATTTCTTTATGGGTCAGCAGAACGATTAACCTCTTCTCTACTACGACCATTGTGAAACGCTGCTTTAATTAATTTATTAAATAGGACTGTGATACTCCCGGCGTGTGTGTGTGTGTGTGTGTGTGTGTGTGCTAACTGTGAATCGAAAGGTGATAAAGATAGCCTAGGACCAAAATACGCTTCACTTTCGATTTCTCGGTAGAGCGACGAAAGAATTCGAAGAATCCCTCTTCTGGCGATAATGTTTGCTTAAAAATACTTCGGACACCGAGTAGTACAGGCTACCAAGTTCGCTCTTTTTACAGCTATCCGAGTGAACGATGAAAAAAAATCAAGGGAATCGTATCGCCGCGCTTCCTATCGAGCTTCCTCTCGCCCTGACGATAATTTCCGTCGAAAAATCCGCCGGACACCGAGAGAGTCAGCTACCAGCTCTCTCCGGAGGAGCCCCCGGAGGCGGCGGGGCGCGGCGCGGCAACGAGGAGGAAGATTGATCGCGGCGAGGCTGCATCGCGAGTTGCATCTGCTCGCCTGCGAGAGAGACTCTCCGCGAAGGAACGAGGGGGGTGTGGGAAGACAGACAGTGTGGCAGAGCAAAGAGGAAAAGAGAGAGGAGAGAGAGAGAGAGAGAGAGACACGAGGAGAGGCTCCGCCTTCGGTTGGCGTGTGCATTTGCGCAAGATGGCGGCGGTCGCGCGTTTTGCACGACCCGTGCCTCCGAGAAGGGTTCCTCTCCAACCACCACAACCTTCGATGTACGTGTACATATGTATGTATGTGTGTACATATAGGTACGTGTACGTATATAAAGGGTGCTCGAGAAATGGAGCAAATAAAGCAATTAGCCAGTCACATAGAAAAACATGGAAGGAGACGGAAAAAGCTAGCCAGATGCAACCAGTGTGATAAAGAGCGGGTGGGGGGAGGGTTGAGGGGAGGGTAACCCACAAAAGCAGCGCCTCCGCGTGGCCTGCAATTACGTATGCACCTCCACGAGAGCCCGTGGGCTTCGCGGTTCGCTGCGCTTCCTTCCTGTCTGCCGCAACCACCGCTGGAGAACGCTCGCTCTGCCTCGTCTGACTTGCTTGTTTATTTTTTTTTTTTTCTTCTGCCGTGCCACTTTCGTCCATACGTTCACGAATTATCCTTTCTTCGCGAGTTTCACCGCGAGTAGAAACGGACCCGTGGAAATTTCCAAGAAAATTCGGTTAGGTATGTTCTTCTTACGACCGATACGATGGTATCCACGGTCAGACGAAGAAACGGAGATTCTGAAGCCGCTGGAATACAGTGTCCGCACTGTTAATGCGAATTTGGTAATTGTACGGTGACTTATTCGCCAGAGGCTATCCACGCGTGGAGAGGGTTGGTGAAAAAAGGTCGGAACAGCGATCCAGAAGGGTTAAAGGGACGGTTCTCGGTCGGTAAGCGGCGGCCAGGCATGAAAAAGCGAGGCAGCGAGAAGAAGAAGGGTCCAAAAAGTGCACGAGGAGGCGAAACGAAACTCGATACAGCCGGTCGGATCTCTCCTGGGCCCTGGAACGCGATATCCCTGATTCTCGCCGACGTGCATGGATCATACTCGGCCCTCTGTTAACCCGTGCTGCGCCAAAAAACCGGCGCCCCTAATCGGAATCAAATCTCTATCTGTCGCTCGAGAACCCGCGACTTCTTTACGACTCCTCTCTTTCGCGGCGATTGACCTCCTACGGGAATTCTTTCTGTGAGAACAGCCTCGCTGCCTCTATTTTGACAATCCTCTCACGGGTATACCAAATTTCGTCTATACCTATAGGTAGCTACCTAAACGGATATTGCCAGACTTGTGAAAGTTATTTCAATACATAGGTATACTTGGTGATACTGTTTCGATCTTTTTCTAAATTAAAAATGTGATTTCACTTAATCCACCGGAGAATATAAAGGCAGCCAAGTGTGTTTTCCATTGCGAAATCAGGCCACCATATATCAGTATAAAATATATATATATACCTATTATTGTTATTTCATAATGGAAAGCGAAATTAAAGCTCGGTGAAGTATTTCCAACAAGAAACGGGTAAATTTCCAGGAATATGTCTACTAATCAATTTTCATCGCGACTCGTTAATTTTTCCTCGAATGTCCGCGCACACACTAATCCGCAAACACGCCAACTGGCGAATAACAGAGCTTGCCGGCCGTCTAATTGCGACTCGACTGGAAACGAAAAGTCATTTACCAAAGGTTCTCGGTAGGTACTCCTACTACTTTCGAAACAGACTAACGGGAAAAAAGGGGGAATTGTTAATGTAAATTCCTCTGGCTGATGTTTTGCAAAATTTCCGGGAGCTTTTTAGTGCCCCCGAGGGCAAACTGGACACGAGGACATAATTAAATATCCGCGACGATAATTAACGAGCTAGACCAAGACGCCATTAGCCGATCGTTGAACCGAGTCACGAGAGACACGCGAAAAAAGGCGGCCATCACGCGTGTACACCTATGGTTACCCGTCCTGCGACATTTTTTACGATCCACAGAATGGCTACACACCCTGTCCGATGCATCGAACATTTCCAACAAAAACAATACAAAATTTCTCAATCTTGTAGAAATTCCTTTCGAACAGGTGCAATTGCACCTTGCAACTTTATCCTCCGACACCTTTTTCCATCTCTAATTACAATACCTTGAATATACAGATAATACCTTCTGTCAACAGTGTGCTACATGGCTCGAGCCTCAAAGGGTTGAAACATGAACAGGCCTCCTTGAAATTTATCGATCGATCAGCAAAGAAACGGATAAGATAAAGTTATCGCTATCTTATCTCTCGATTTGGCCAAAAAGGACCCGGAGAAGAAATATAGCAGAATCGTTTCAAGGAAAAAAAGAACGCAAGAGTACGAAACGCAAGATTTGGAAAATACGTGTCAGAATCTTCCGAGTGGAAAAGAAAAAAAACTATCAAGAATCTCGAAGCAACCTACTATCTTGTAAAAAAAAGAAAAAGAAAAGAATGAGGGATAAAAAACATTGGACTTACTGTGAGCGTAGTGGGCGGCGGCAGCGGCAGGGTGGTGGGCGGTGGGTCCAGCATGTGGATAATAGCCCCTGTAGTCTGTGGGGTTGCCAACGACGCCAGCAACTCCTGCTCCCCCCGATGGCGGCTCCAGCGACGACCTAGGGGGCTCGTACCACCTGGCCGCGCTCGACTCGCTGCTCATGTCCATTTTTACCGGAATAGTTTTTCCACTTCCAACCAAGGACTCGCACTCTGCGCTCAACGAACCAGAGGAGAACCAGGGACCACTACGGGGAGGGGGTTGGGGGACGGACACGAGGGGTGGAAAAGGGGGATTAGGAACGCTGCCAAATACGCCTCTCTGCCGGAAGCGTGGTCCCACTGAGAACTCTGAGCGAGATCATAGGTAATCCTGCACCTCGATCACCCGGTAAATCTGTCTCTGACCCCTTCTGCCTTCTGCAAACACAAATTGACACCCGTTAGAATTTTCATCCGCAGTCGGAAGTTACCTACACATTTCCGCGGAACATTGTGAACGTTAAATGGTAGCGTATGCACAATATTGAGGGTGATTGAGAAAGTATATCAATCCTGAGAGTGACTGAAATTCTGGTTGTTTCGTACAATTCAGTTCCACATTCTTTTACAACCGCAGACAGATAAATACAATTTCTTCAAATCACTTTCGTAATCACCGACACGCGGGCAACGTGGAAGAATGGTACGAACGTGGCTTGAATGGTGAGAATTTTAAGTAACTTTACATACGTCCGTATTAATACTTGCACGAGCTACGTGTCAAACTACCTACCAAATATCAATCCAATACGCACTTAATTACTCTTTTCCGATTTACAACTAAGCAGATACGTTCGTTCGTCGTAATTGTTCTCTTTTTCTTCTTTTTTTTTTTTTAATTAGATCTCTCTCCTAGAGATAAGGAAATCCCGAAACTTTCTCAGGCCATTTTCACACTCGCACGCGCGTGCAAAGAATAAAGGGGGAAAAAAATGAAACGTGTCATTCGCGGATTACATAACAACACCGATATCACTAAAAGAGGGATACGCAAGTAAGCGAACACCGACGGAAACTCGAGACGGAGCGCGGAATCCGGTTGCGGACAGTCGGTTTATCTCGTTACACGATTAGACGCGGATGGACGCCGATCTTCCTTGCACCGATCCTCGCGAAAACGGAACGAAGAGATGGTAATCGGATATCCCCCCGATCGATCGATTTCGATGGTTCCTCGGAGTATCTTCCGGCTATGTGTACCGTGTGTATACCCCCTTTTGCTTGGCAAAACTCTCGCGGATGATCAGCACACGACAGGACTCACTACGCGTGATCACGATAACCGATCGAGCCGAGAGATCTCGGTTAATTAGCACCCGATCTCCGCGCTTCGACACCGATGCCCGGCCACTCGACGATCGAGCGGCCGCAGAATGATTTATCAATCGGCCCCGGCCGTCGCGATCAAGGTCATCGATGACGTAACTCATAGACGCCAAAAGTCAACGGGAAAATTCACTGGTTTCGAATCATTTTTCGCGCTACTTCGCTGACTACACGAGGACACCGAACTGTCGCCGGTTAATCGCCGCCATTTTGACAATCTTTCTTACCGTCCGAGAGATTTCTAGTGGATTTTCGCCGGATTCCAATGTACAGATCGATTTTTAACGTTTCTAACTGTAGATCTATACGAGTGCGCTGTTTCAAGAGGTTGTAAACACTCTTTTGAGAAATTGTAACTAATTTCTGCAATTTTCTTTTTTTTTGTATCGTTGAATTTTTGAGCGATTCTAATTATTTCAGAGATTACTTGTAGAACTTCCTACTGTCGCCGAATATCTACATTTTTCTAATTATTCCAGATACGCACTTTCTTTTAAATG